CACGCTCCGTGTCTCTCCCGCAGCTGCTCCGTGCGGTGCTGCCGGACCCACCGCGGTGAGTACGGGCCGGGAGGGGCCGGGGCTGTGCCAGGGCTGCCCCGGGGCTGACCCGCTGTGTGTCCGCAGAGCGCTGCGCGCCGAATCCCAGCGGGGAGCGGGACAAGGGGCAGGGACCCCCCGCGGCCCCGCCGAGCCCCGCACATGGCCCCTGGTCCCTGGAGGACATCCTGGGCGAGGAGGACGAGCAGGACCGAGTCCCGCTGCAGAAACTCAAGCTTTTAGGTGAGTTTGGGGAATTCGGGACTCAGCCGGGTGCGGGGCTGGTGGGGCTTCAGCAGAAATGCTCCCCCTTCCCACGAGTTCTGCGTGGAGCTGCTCCCAGCCGTGCAGCTCGTTGCAAGGCCTTAAAGAATTAAATATCAGATATTTGGCCCTTCACCAGTCTCTTTGAAAGTTTATTTGCAAAATAAGGGAGGTGTTAACTTCGTTTGTAACCTCTCGAGATTACTGCTATTTATCTTGTTTTCTTTTTAAAGGGGAGTCAGAAGAACTGAAGGGTTTGCTGCTGAACCCACACCTCCGGCAGCTGCTCCTCACCATCGACCAGGCAAAAGACAAAAGCTCCCTCATGAGGAGGTTCATGCAGGAGCCCCTGTTTGTGGAGTTTGCAGATTGCTGCCTGAGCATTGTGGAGCCTCCCGAGAAGGAGAACATCCTCCCCGAGTGAGCCCGTTTTCCTTTCCCTGAGGTCTTGTGCTGCAGAGCTGCTCCATTCGGTGTCTCTCCTCGGGGTCTGGTCTGTGATTTCAACTTGGAGTTGACAGAGATTTCTAGAGACTGGGGCTTGAACTTGACACTCTGTGGACCTGCTTTGTGTGGGTACAGAAATGCTGGCAGCCGTGGGAAATGTTACTTCACAGCGACAACATTAAATATATTTGCCTTTATTTTTAATCAACAAATACTCTGCCATGTTTTTGTTCATTGTTTGGGGTGGTCAGACACCTTGACAAGGCATTGAGCAGATTCTTTAAAATGACATAACACAGAGGAGCTGAACATTTTCGAGACCCAGGAGCAAGAGAAGGACGGTACAGAAGCACCTCTGATGAGACCCCTGGCAGGGCAGTGCTGTTTGGGGAGCTCTGGAAACGCCTGGCAGCTGTGAGAGCTCAGAGATTTTGGTCAGAGAGAAAAAAAAAAAAGCAAGAGCCCAGTCTCGCTTTTCCCTGAGACATCTGCCCTTAGTGTGACATTGGCTGCTCCTCCCTCCCTCGGTCAGTCAGGGTTGTACCTCTGAGAATCCAGCAGGAATCAGGAATGTTTGCATTATTTGCTCCCTCATGACCAGCCTCTTGCTTCGCCAGGTAGTGCCAGCAGCGTTCAGTTCAAGTATTTATTGTTTAAAGCACCTGATCTGGTTTAACTGATTGTTCTCATAGCGCTGATATTTCCTGCAGCGTGTGCTGTGTGGAGGAGCGGCCCCCACGCCCCCCAGATTTGATGTGTATTATGTTACATTGCATTTTAGGCACAAGGCATCGAGGTGAAAGCTCTGAGGTAGCAGCAGATGTGGCCGTTGGGTGATTTGGAAGCAGCAGCTTGCAGAGAGCCCGTCCCTGAAGGCAGAGGTGTGCAGGGGCCAGGCCTATGTGGGCAGGAGTTCCTTTCTGTCCAGCAGGATCTGGTTGAATCCCGTGATGGAACAGGCGTCCCTGTGGGGGCTGACGTTGGAATAGTGCAGGGGGGACTTCCTGCAGTGGAACCTGACAGAGCCCTGCAAGGAAGAGAGGTGGAGAGCTCAGCTGGGGGCTTGGCCAGCTTTTGAGGTCATTCTGTTGTTCATGTTTAGTGTTCATGAGCAGCTAGTGACTATGAGGATAGAAGAGGACCTCCTGAGGAATTTTAGTACAAATGGATTTAAGAGCAGTCAGTGCCAATACTGTAATTTTAACTGGAATTAACTTAAACTCTGGAGATTCTGTAGTAGATTTAGTACTGAACTTGCTACTGCTCCTGCCTGCTTGCAGTGACTGGGACCAGTTCTTGCACCCGTTTTATGCAGCCTCAGAAAAGTTACCCAAAAAACCCCCAAGGTGATTTGTAACGAGGTGCAGTTTCTGAGGGCACCTTGTTGGCAGGACATGGTATCCAGGACTATTCCTGAACCCCTGGCACCCTGCCTGTGCTGACTGGAGTCTGGGAGGTGGGTTACCTGTGGGAGAGCTCTGATGGAAGCGATGCCACAGCCCAGGGAAGAGCTGTCCAGCCTGGAGCTGCTGCTGCCCTGGAGCCCCCTGAGCCAGCCCAGCAGGGCCAGGTCCCTGCGGGGCCCCGTGGCAGTGACAGGGGCAGCAGCCAGGACGAGGCCCAGGGGCCAGAACTGGACAATGGCCTGCAGAGGCCACGCTGTGTCCAAGGAACAAGGCAGCTTGGCCGGGATCACCGTGGCTCCAGCAGCTGGGAACTCCTTCCCTTCCCCCTCGTCCAGTTCTGCCGCTGCCAGCGCGGCCATCTTTGCCTGGTGAAGATAAGGAGCAATATTCAACAAGGTTCTCAGACATCTTGAGCAGAATTGAAAGAGTCTAGAAAGGAGGGAATCTGAAAGGGCAGCAGACTCTTTGGGGCATTCCCATGAGGGTAAGGAGTGGGTTTATTCTGCAGAACAGAAGCAGCTGTGCAGGACTGGCATCTTCAGCTGGCGAAGGGTTTACTGGAGCACTGACAGAGCTGCTTTTGTAATTAGTTGAGGCAGAGTCGTAACTACTAAGAGGGAGATTCCTTCTAAAAATGAAAGCCTCAGTGAGTGAGCTTGTGTCCCTTCCCTGTCCCCACACCCTCACCTTCCATCTCCTCCAGCGGCGCTGGATGACGTTGGCAGCCCCGCGCATCCTTCGGAACCGGCTCCTGGCCAGCCAGGAACGGACAGCTGAGGAGTCAGTGGAAACAAAGCTGAGTACAAACCACCCCAGGAGCTCTGGCACACAGTGGAAGAGGTGGCACTTCACCGCCCCTGCCACTGTAATCCCCCAACAGAACTGGAAACGTTCCTTGTTGTGCTGTTCCAGCCACACCCTTGCGGAGTTACCTGCTTGGATGACAGTTGCAGACCGTTTCTCCTTTGCCAGTTTCCTCTGCTTAAATCTCCTCCAGCAGCACTGAATGCAAAATGCTTTCTCATTTAACACCTCTGCTCTCCTGGCTTCGAGTAGCTCCAGCTGCAGTGGGGACAGGAGCTTGGAGTTAGTACCCAGGGCTCTCAACTCTTCCCTTTTCTGCAGCCTCTTGGTGTTTGTCAGAGAGCCACATCCTCATTCCAGTGTCCTGTGACTGCTGCATTAGGTGTTAGAAGTGACAGCACTCCATTAGTGCTTATGAGATAATATGGAAACAGAAATGGGAGTAGTTGGGGGGTCACAGTAGCAGCTGGCTTAAACCCAGCTCCACTGAAGGGGGTTCTTCTGTGGCTGCATCCTGCAAGCTTGGCAAAGGTCCCTTTGTCTCCTTCATCTGTTTCTCCAAGGAAGCTCTGTGGGCCAGCTGGAGTAGCCAAATCTATCAGCTGAAGGTAAGGAAAGCTGTAATCTTTCCTGGAATGGGAAGAATACTGACAGTTGTAGACACAAGTGCATCTCCTTGTCCCTTGGCTCCACAGATGCCATTAAACAAAGTGCTTCTGAGGGCTGGGTTCTGCTGGCTGCTTGACTGACTTGAGTAATTGGAAGGAAAATGCCCAATTCTGGTCACACTGGCTTGGCAGGAGCATTATTGCTCCCACCCTGGTGATCCCTGTGCCAGAATCCCCATCAGGCAGCTGAGCCCCAGAATTGTCAGCCAACTTACCACAGAACTGGCCAGGAACACTTTGGTCTTCCCACAGTACACCGAGGGGGTTCCTGCTCCACTCCCTGTTTGCTCAGCAGTGGTTTGTCCCACAACAACGTTCTGAAGGATCTCAAGAGCAGCAGAACGTGAGGCTTTGTCCTCCTCCATCACCGCAGTCTCTCCTGGAAGTGAAGCATTGAGGAGCAGGAGTCACAAGGCTTGGAAATCAGGACCAAGGAATTGTCTTGACTCTGGGATTTCTGGGCCATCTAGTGGGGGAAAACCTCCAGCAGGAGGGGAGGAGGTGATGGCTGAGGGCACTCATCTCACTGTGCTTTGGGGTAAAACGGTGCCAGCAAGCAGAAAACCACCGTGGGGTGTTTGAACTGGGAACAAAGAACAAGAACAAGGAATTGGACTCAGCCTTAATGTACTGAAAGGTGCAGGAGGGGAAACAACTCTCCCCAATTCTCCAGCTTTCCCGGGGCATCGGAAGCAGCTACAGGGGTCGTGCAGTGAGCAGAATTTACTGCAGCAATTAGAGGTTATTAAAGCCATTTCTGGGACACAGTGCACAGCTTTTTACATCACGAGACAAACAGGTTGGCCAGATGAATCTAACTGGAAATAGACTTAGCTCAGAGCTGCCCTTGGAAGAGATCGAGGCAGTGCTGCAGGAGTTCCTGCGATGGGCTTTGCATCATTCCATCCTGGATACTGTTTGCTTTTCTGCTATAAATATTTCTAAGGAGATGAGAGCATTTTAAGGTACTGAAAACAAATAGGAGCAATTCTTGCCTACAGGAAGACATCTGGTGCCTGTGATGGTGTTCCTGGGGCCGGGCTGATAAGGGAACCCAAAGCTTATCCCTGTGTTTGGGAAATTTGTTTTGCTTTGTTTGCAGCTTATTACCCCCCTAAAGATAAAAAGGAACTAAGAACCTATCACAGAGAGGGTTTGCAGCTAATGGGTTTGTAATTGAGGGGGAAAGATACAGTGTGTAAGTGATTTTCCAGCCTGTACTTCCTTCCTTCGCTCCATTTCCAGCCGGTGAATGGATATCCAGACATTTCACTTATCTGAACAGGCTGGCACTTACTGGTCCTGCTTCCCACTGGTGATGGAACAGACCCACTGGGTGAAGGTGGGATTAATTTGGGAGAGAGAAGGGGGTTGCAGGGACTTTCAGTATTAAATGTAACCTCCTGGTGAGCTCCTCCTTTTAGGGGTTGATAGCAAAGGCATTACCTTGTAGACGGGGTTGTGGGTTTGGGGTGGTGGTTTTTAAAGTCCATCCTCGCTCTTGCTTAGAAAAAGAGAAGTTTGCAAAAGGTGGAAGAAGCAGCAGAATCCAGGTAAGCTGGAGGGTCAGTGATTCAGCAAGGAAGCAAAGGGTGGGGGGAAAAAAGAAAGGAAGGAGAGAAGGAACATGAGCCAAAAGGTAAGAGGCTTTCAATCTTACTAAA